CACGATCTTCTTTCTAGTTCAGAGTCTCCTTGATATCTAGCGAGTTAACTTAAGTCGATGTACGTACAATTGTCGACAGGCTAGCTAGCTTTGTCAGACACTGAATTGTTGGACGTCGAGGTAAGATAATATTTTCATAAAACCACTAATGGTCGATGAGAATTCAGTAATATTTTCGGGAAGATACTAACGTCCGATGAGAATCCACTAACGTTCGAAATTTATAACTGTTCCTGGTCAAATATCGTATATTTTCCGGTTTATAAGGGTTAGTAAAATCACGGTTTATAGCATACACGGTTATAATAGGTTCCTAGCAGACTTGTAAGCTCTCTTCTTTTGTCCTTGGTCTTTATATGTGGCCGGGAAATGTCTTTCTCGAAAGTTCGGACAACAATACTAGACTATATTTAACCGGTTACCGAAGTGGATATATTGTCGATTCTTGCGTTCACGAATATTCTACAATCTTGGAGAATTGGCGGGAGTTTCGCAATACGTAACTAACACTGTAAGCTAGGCACGTTTTTAAATATAAACTCATTCCAAACAAACGTTGTCATTAAAATAAATATATTACAAATTCGTTATACGTAATACATATCTGACACTGTAAGTTTCGCATATTTTTAAATACAAATTTAATCTAAACAACATTCATATTAAAAATAAATACATGACAACAAATGCGTTACACTGCATAAGTTGTATTTTTAAAATTTAGATAGCGTTTTTATTTTTCTCAATAAAACGAATATCTTCATTCAGGAAGGAACTTATTGAAATAACACCTACAAAGTGTTAAAATGTGCACTTTTCGAAACTTAGATACAAAAAATAAAGTAATACGTCAGAAGGTATATAATGCTAAAACCAGGTAGGCACAGCATGGATAGACCACTGTGCAACTCTGCTCTTAACACCAAATCGAAATATAGTACAAGGGCAATGTTACTGATTGTGGTTTATGCAAAAGGTTCTGAAAGTTTTCAATTATTACAACCATCATTTCATTACATAATAATATCCGAATTAATTTTACTGATATGAATAACAAAATGTGAGAAAAAGTGTGATATCAGTTAGAAAATGATATATTTCTGCTTTTACTTTTTTGCATCCAATGTTTATAACATTTATTTCTTTATCAAAGATGCCTGCGTTTTTAATATAAGTAAACATTAAATATTTTAACCAATCAAAGTTTTCATCCGATATTGTGTTTTATATTTTTGCAGTTCTATTGCAAGACACTTCTCAAGTAAACTTTTCCTTCTGTCAAACAACAGACGGTGAAGATGGCATTTGCGTCAGAGAATCTTACTGCCGAACATTACGTGCGAGCAGTACTAAACAGATGTGTAACGAAATTCGTGGCGTCAGGGAAGTTTGTTGTCCTTTCACTTTAAAGCCCTCGACTGAGTCCACTCAACCTCCAACAACACCACCGCCACCTTCAAGTCTTCCTACTCAGATTTCACCACATAAAAAATCTGAACAGTTGAGAAAATATGAATATCTAAATGAAGAATGTGAGATTTTGAATTTTCTTGTCATTAAACATTATGCTGTATTATCTACTATATGTTAACAACTAATACTTTTGTTTGATGTTTGGATTGAATAAAGATTATGAAGTTAACCAATGAAAACAGAGCTAATTATGTTTAAATATCTCATCAGTTGCCACTAGTTACACAAGTTTTATTGTAGGTAATATCTGCTGCTAACATGAGATGCATTACATTCTAAATACCCTTCTTTATATATGCACATTATAACAGAGCATTATTCGTTATTCTAAATATTTCTTTGTTTGTTTCACAGTCTGTGGACCAGTAACTAGTGCGTATGTCGGTGGAAACGATACTTCAGTTAGCTATTGGCCTTGGATGGCAAGTATCACTTTATCTTGGATATAACTATAAGGGAAAGATAACGTAGTTGAATAAAGTTTTAGAGTTACCGTGTAATAACACATATAAATGTTAGATATACACGACTGTTTTAATTTAAGTATAGCGCGAGTGTTAAATTTAGTTATTTTTAGGAGCAACAGTTTATCACAGATTTGTTTATTTTAACTGTACGAATCACGTATTTAAATAAATAACACAAGGTAATTTCAAACATACACTTTTTTTTTCTCTTTTCTCGCACATTTAACTTCAGCTCACCGGTGCTGGATTTCTTGTTTAGTTCAGCCTCAGGTGCTAAGTTCTTTATGGCTAATGTTTCTTTTAACCGTAGCCATCGCTCATTTTCAACCTTTCCAATAATTTCTAATTGTTCAGTTTTTATTCATGCATTTCTCTTTATGTCGGAAAATGTTTACGAGTTCTGCATATTTTGGCACACTATGTTCTTTAACTCAATCACTAAGCCTCATCACCATCTGTAGACAACATGTGATCGGTCCGCCTTACATATTCTGTCTTTGAATACAAAATAGTTCCTTATTCTGTATACTGGTTTAAGTACCACACGTAGTTCAACTTGTGGGTGAACATTACAAACGATAATCTTTATATTTTTCTTGATTTTCAAAGCATGTGCTCCAGTAAATGGTAGTGTCATATACGCAATCTTTCTTGGAACATTATCTTTCTCTTCCTTACGGGTGACAGCTTTGTTCATATAATCGTTGTTAAATCGTGTTAAAACTTTTATTGGGAAGTTATTCAAACACAAGTAATTTTGATGTTTTCCACTTCATTTTTAAACAGTTCAACATTACTACTTAGTTTATGAGCTCGATATACGACAATTCTAATTAGATTATCTTTGAAGTTATTATGTATAATACTATTATAGTTAAAATAAAACCCCGAAAATGTAGGTGTTACGTCTCCGTTTGTTCGTTAATTTTCCGTAAAAATTCTTACCGAAGAAACTTTACCGATACGAGTCCTTTCTTAAATAAAACTAGTTTATTCTTTCTGAATACAACTTTGCGATACACTTAATTTCAACAGTCGCGCTATAACAAACGCTATAATTCAAACGAACGTCTCATGTGCTCAACAATATTCTCTCTCCGCAGTTCAATTACGCACTGTTCCGTCACGTTGTGACCGTCTTATATATACAAGACTAACATATATCTAGTAAACGCTAGGGCATTCATGAAGGAACAGGATATTTCTAGAAGTCAATGACGTGTTACTAGCGTCATGTGACCCCGATGTCGTAACATAGGTTTATGGTAAATTTCGATTTCAAATTTATCATCATTTTTCTTAACTAGAATGTCTAAAAACGTTATCATACAATCTTTCTTTTTCTACCGTGAATTTAATATTATTATGTTGTTTATTCTGATAATTCAAAAAAATATCTACTTGTTCTTCACTCTCAAATACCGTAAATGTGTCGTCCACGTATCTTTTATACACCATCGGTTTAATTTCCTTTGGATATTCTTCTACCATTTCTTTTCCTTAAAACACATAAATACATTAGTTAATATGGGGGCCAAACAGGAACCCATACTAACTCCATCTTTCTGATCATAAACCTTACCATTAAACAAAAAATGTGATTATTTTATAGCTATAACCATTAATTCGTGGAATATCTCTAAGTATTTCAATAAAACTACCCCTTTTTCATATAATAACGTTTTACATACCTCAATGGCTTCATCTAATGGTATGTTAGTAAATAATGATTCTACATCAAAACTTACAATTACTACATCCTTATCAAATTTTAAATCCTTAATATTGTCCACAAATTCAAAGCTATCTTTCAGAGTATATTCATTATTAATCAATTCTTTTAAACCTTTGCTTAAAAATTTTGATAATTTGTGATTATAGCAACCAATGTTGGATACAATAGGTCTCATTGGACAATTGTCTTTATGAATTTTTGACAATCCATACAATATACACGCATGCGAACCATTAGGTTTTATTTCTTTATAAATATCTTCTGTAATGATGTTTTCTTTTTTCACTTTTAATAAGTATCTAATCAACTTATTTTCTCTGGTTTTGATGAGATCTTTTTTTTAATGATTTTAAATTTACTTTTGTCCTGAATAGTTTCCTCAACCTTGTTGTTATAGTCTTCCTTATCCATAATGACTACTTTGTTACCTTTACCTTTATCAGGCTTCGTAATCAATATCTCTTTGTTCGTACTTAACTTTATCAAGGCTTGATTTTCTAACCAACTAATATTCCATGGTTTAGAAATCAAGTTGTAACTTTGTAAACCATTTAAACCTATACTAGTAATACGTGTACACATATTATCAAAATTAATTTGAGAGATGAATTAACCTTACAACACCTAAGATGCTTTGATAAGAGTTCAAATAAATAATTATGAAATTCCAATTTCTTAGGAGTGATTGCAAATCCTAATCCTTTAGATAACTTTAGGCCTCAGTTAGGCTATTTATAAATACGAGTCCAAAATGTAGTTCAAGTAAGAGAGCACCTAAAAACATGGACGATACAATCAAGCTGGCAGAAGAGTATATGGAAAACCATGGATGGAGTATAAAAAACAATTTAAAAATAACCAGTTAAAGTTGAAACCAGGGGTGGCTGACCAGAAGCAGAATACCCTCAAATACAACAAGAAGTAAAATACAAATGGGAGAAGAGATGCTATGCTTGTTATAAAATGTGGCACCATTGCAAGTGAGTCACCAACAAGCAACTGCAAAACTCTCAACATAAAGCAGCTGTTGAAGTGGTACTTCAAGAGGGAAGAAGAGCTAAGCGTTGTGGCTGTCATAGATGCAGAACTAGAAGTCGGTGATTTTGTCATAGAAGATGAAGACTTATTAGACTTAAGACCATTGGATGAAGATGAGATGTATGAAGACGTCAAAATCAGAGAAGAACTGACTGGCAAGCGGAAGAAAGAGCTACAAGATCTACTGCGCTAGTGTGCAGATGTTTTCACAGATAGACCTGGCACGACAGGTCGTGTACAACACGAGATAGAGACCACGACCAGGAAACCAGTCAAGGCGAAGCCATACTATAGGCCCTATGGGATAAAAGACCCGATCGAGCAGAAAGTCGATGCAATGTTAAAAGCTTGAATCATTGAGCCTTCAAAGTCAGCCTACTGTTCATCAGTCGAAATTGTGAAGAAGAGGGATGGCTCAAACTGCTTCTGCATAGACTTCTGGAAGCAGAACCTCGAAACGGAGACAAGTTCTTTATCCAAGATCGACCTCAATAAAGCTTATTGGCAAATCCCGATGTAGACAGAGTTTAAAGACAAGACAGCCTTTGTGATAGCAGATGGGTGATATCACAAACATCGAGCATTATGTGGACGACATTCTGACTCGTACAACCAGATGGAAATACCGCCTGAAGAAACTCGGAGAACTGTTTGGATGAGTGAGGCCAACAAGTCTGACCATCACAAGGACACTTTTGATATCTCGATACTCATTGATGTACACAATTTTCTTATGTTAAACATTCTTGACCAGAAAAAGCAAAGAAACATAGTTCAGAGTTGTTGGACAAGAATTTCTAAAACCTGAAATATATATTTGGCATTTTATCAGATTAATTTAACTTTCATTTTGTAAGGAATTAGGATTCTTAAATTTAATGCACAGTTAATGAAGTAGTCAAAGGTTCCATGTCGCAATATGGTAACTGACGAACGCACAATAGCCCTGTAGCATAATTTCAATTATGGAAAGCTCTATTGTAATGCTGTCTTGTCCAAGGCACGCCCCTCCTCCCTGAAACTTTCTAAAATCCATTTAATGCATGAGAATGGCAAATTCTCAACACCCATTTCAAAAGTCCAGTCGCACAGAAATCCAAAGGTGCTGCATCCATATGTATTCGAATGGAGTAGCATGAATACTAATTTACTTCTCCAGCTGCTTGAGGTATGCAATGGTTGAACAAGAAGCATAACTAGAAACTTTATCATGGTGAAGCTATACCCTGTTGGATTCGTTTCGGAGATCTTTCTTGATTATGTTGCGTACTGTTAACTGGAACACATGGACGGCTTTTGCTACTGAATTTTGTGATAATGGATTCTCACAGCTAGAGTACAAGTTGGATGGACCCGGTATCTCATATTTCTCCATATTTCTTTGTTTTGTAATGCTATTAATTATCAATAACGATATTTCAGTGTTGGAAATTCTAAACTCCCGACTCGAACACACCTTGAAGATTGAGTTTAAGAACATTTTACCTCAGAAAGGCCTGTTGCATACGCATCTCAAAAGTGATAAATTTTCGATAGTATCGCATTGCAAGCTTACTTAACAGCAAACAATGTGAAAATGCAGTGCTGATACAAGCTGTTTCACCACGACTGTATATCAGTTGTGGTTGTCACGTGAATGCTGATTTACGTGTTCAAAATATTTTTAATATAAGGTACTTAGCCTCTATTATAACCTATAACAGAAAAATATCAAGGTCTTGCCAAATTATGGTGTCCATTCTGAAAAATGCAATAATGCTATACCCAAAGTTACATAAGTTATCATAGTAGTACAGATTTATAGACGATGAGAAAAAATAACAAAAAACGCTGAATAACGATTATATTTTTCTAATCTTCAGGACATTTAACATACTGTGAAAACCATCAAAGAAAGACTAGATATTCATTTATTAAATATGTGAGAGATGGAGAGAAAGTTCGTAACCTAAATCACCTAAACCAATCAATATGTTATAATCATTGTCAATATGTTATTCAGTAATTTACAAGTTACCTTTAATTACTGATTTATATAGCTGGAAATTGTTTTTATCAGATGTTACTAGTAATAGCCTTTAGTTCAACATTTTTATCATTCTCC